TTCATCCATTTATCATAAAGATAAAAAGACCAAGTAAAAATTGCCGAGGAGGCTTCAGATTCAACTATTATATGGCTCAAAGCCACAAGATTGGTGGTTTCAACAAAGGCACGTGGGTTTTAAGGGCAAAGGGGAAAACGAGGCACAGAGAGATGTGGTACTGTCACAAGATGCTGTAATCAGGAAAGGGGCAGTCCCTTCCAGTGAGGTGAGAGAACTCTTATTCTCAAGTTGTAGAAGATTCTAGAGGACTAGAATGTTCTCCACAAGAATCTTCACATTGGTTTTCCTGGTGTAATTTTTTTTATTGAGGTGAAATATGCATACAGTGAAACACACAAACCTTAAGTGAACTATTCCACAAACTAGGACAACTGTATGCACCAAGAATACTCCATCAGGCTATAGACCATTTTCTTTGTGTCTCATAATAGTCACCCCTCATTCTGATTTCCATCCACATTTCCACCTGTGATACTTTAATGGTTTACTCTTAAGTGTATCCCAGAAGGCTAGTTTCTACTCTACCTACCTGTGCCTTGCTATTTCAGGTCCTGTCTCTGCGTAAGTGCTTTAATCACTTACTACCAAGCCATGTGGGGAAGGCAGCCATTCTCATCAGGGTGAACATGGCAGCTAATGGAGCATTTCAGAAACAGTGGGAGAAGGGGACACTTTGGATGACCAGCATCCATTTGGTGAGTGCTGAAAGCCCTAAGTGCCGGACATCTGGAACAATGCAGGGCAGTTCTGCTCAGTGAACACTTGTCCAGTCTTGCATGACCACCAGGTGTCCCACAGACATTCATGCCAGTGGGAAACACACTTAAAATGTTTGTAGCCTAGCTCCTCACTCCATTCCACATTTATATAAAACGCATATTCATGGCACAATTTCCATGCATAGTTTACAATGGAAAAATGTTTCCATTAAGGTAAGGATACTGGGTATTTAGTGAAGAGAGAAGGGCCAGTCAAAAGTGACAGCATCTAACTTTTTATCACCCTTTGGTCTGGCAGGAGTGATGACTGCTTTTTGGGTTTTTTTGGTTTTGGGGGGTTTTTGGGGGGTATCCTAAGTTCTCAAGTTGGGGAAGCCAGATGTGCAGAGCCAAGTTGCCAGACCCCTCCCGTTAGCTCCTGCTGCACTGTGGTTACCAAAGGGCACATGCAGTGCAGGTCATCTCAAGAGACAGCTTAAAAGCTGCTGTTCCCACCTCTTTAGTGAAGACCACCAGGACAAAGTTCCCACCTGACTTTGTACCAAGAATGCTTTTATTTTTCCCAAGCATTTATTTCACTTTTATCTTGAAGACACTGACAGCTGGGTACTCCCAGTTTCCTTCCCCACTACTGCCTGCAAGAAAATATGTTTATATTGCCAACCTTGTCTCCAAGTTAGAACCACCTGGGGGGGCTTTTAAAACAACAGTGCCTGTCACATGCCAGAGATGTAGTTTGTCTGCTCAGCACCCACTCCTGCACTTCTCAAGGGTCTCTGACAATGTCAGGATAGGGACTCAGGCTTACCTTGGCATTTTCATCCCATGTGGGCAACTTTGCATGCATCTAAGCCATCAGGGTTCATATTTATTTATTTACTTATTTATTTGTGTATTTATTTTTATGGTCTGGGGATCAAATTCAAGGCCTTGCTGAACTACACCCTCAGTCCAGGTTCACATTTTATACATTTTAGTGTCATTTCAGGCTCTGCTTCATCTCCACTCTTGTTTTCCTTTCATCCTACTTTTAATTTATGACATCTCATACATAAATCCTTTCCAGAATATGTGAGATGGAAAAATGCCTCCATTACTCTGCCACATGAATGCCACTGGACATATATGAGGAAAAGACAGTACAGAATTCAAAAGTATGCTGGTGACCAGGTGTGTTGGTGACCAGGGACCATGAAGAGCCCCAGCCTCTCTCAACATTTGGTGAGACCACTTGAGGCAGGGGCCCTCTACTTGCTGTCATGTGCCAGGTGTGGCCAGGAGACTGCAGCAGTATTTCCTGGGGTCAGTCAGAGGAGCATAAAGCTGCTAATACCACAGCTCATCCTCCTGCATCACAAGCCCACTTAACCACCCTGGAGAGAGAAAATGCACACCAAGCACCCACTCACAGCAACAGCTGGATAGCACTGTGAGGCCCAGCCATGGTCATTAAGTCACAGGTGCTCCTGACAACCTCTCTCCTTTGAACTGGCAAGCTCACAATGGAACCGTGGTGAGGCATAAGAATCTGAGGATCTCTGTACTTCCCCTTGCCTTTGCAGTTTCACTACAATGGTCCAGCTTTGCCACTTTGACTATGGCATCTTTCTCTACATCTCTGCTTGCAGCCAGGCAGATTCCCATCTTGCACTGATGTATCCCAGTCACAAGTTTTCTATTTGCCCTGGCCCATGAGCACAGCATATATCTCAGCACCCCTACTATTCTTTAGGGGACCACAGACTGCATCTATGACCACTGTCCCCTGTTCTCTCCACTGCAGATGCTGCATAGTGTCAAGTCACCCATACCCACTCTCTGTGCAAACGGGCAGATTTCAAAGAACCACCTTATGAAGAGAGACTTTCAGTCTTTCAATATCCCGTGTCCTACCATGAGCACTCAGGTACCTGAGAGGACAGGTATTTTCATTTATTTTATTTACTTCTCTCTCTCCACTACTTGCCACAGTGTGCAGCACATAGTAGGTATTCAATAATCATTTCTTTAATAAATAAAATTAGGCAGTGTTTCATCAATGGTGAATGACTTACTCAAAAGATGTTACGGGCTTCAGAACCATAAAGAACATCTAGATGTCGCATTACAACACCCAGGGCACCACCGAGCCCATTAGAAATGGGAAGTTTGATCCTGCATGGCTAAGGTCACTTGAGAATTCAGCTCAAATGTCCTTTCTTGTACTGCACAATAGCCATCCAAGGGTGCGCTACAGGCAGTACTTCCCATACAGCAGAATGGCAGCTAGCCCGGAGACTGTAAATAAATGAGAGTTCCACATCCCTCGATCCATCAAATCCTACCCCAAAGGCACCACTTACTGCCTAGTACAAAAGTTAATGTAGGATAGGAAAACAAAACAGTAAATGAAATATTAAATAGGATACTAAGAGGAGATCAAGAAAGACAAAAATGCCACAAGAGGAGTTTGGTAAGCTTAGGTAGCAAAGGTGGAAAGCGACCACTCCCTGGCTTTCCCTGGCTCACAGTCATGGAGTTCCATTTCATATATTCACCTCCTTCAGAAGCTTGGCTCAAAGCCATGGGGACCTGGCATCACATTCCAATGACAGATAGACCTTGGCTCCGATATGGGTGGCCCAAATGATGGCATGCCTTGTCTTAGTTCCTATGATGTGGCGTTAAAACCACAGAATGTGCGCATCTGATAAGAGTCCCCTACCCCCAGGCAGCACTGCAGAGAGCTGCCCCTGGGAGCAATCAGAGTGAGCCTTCTTCCCCCCTGGCCAGTAGGGGAGAAAGCTCTGAGAGGTAGGGACTGCTGGGGGCATCAGAAGATAATGAAGAAGAAGGGGTGGAGGAGGGGCCAATTGGAGCCCTGAGGGCTGACTCTCCTTCCAGGTGTCAGTCCTCCAACAAATTAAGCTTCTGTCCCAGTCCTGCTTCCTCCACTCTAAAAAGGAGGGTGATCATTGTTCCTTCCTCACAAGAGTGTTGGGAGGATAAAAGGGCAGTATATAAAAAAGGCCTCATAAATTGTGAAGTGCTAGGCATACTTGTAGCAATGTGTTCTCTTGGTGTCTACCTATTTATAGCACATTGTCCAGCATCAGCCTTTACCTGAAGGGACAATAACCCTACCCAGTGCCTGTAGTACATTCATTCCTTGTTAAGGAGACTGACTCTTCTGAGCCTAAACTCCTAAGGACCCTCCTGAACCAGTTGAACTTGGCCAGATCACAGGCCTGGAAACAATTTAAACAGGGAGACACACCTACCTAGAACAAACCTCAAAAAAAGATTGGCAAGGTCCCAAAAGAGTTAAGCCCTACTACTGCTTCGAGAGAAGAGAGAGAGAGAGAGAGAGAGAGAGAGAGAGAGAGAGAGAGCGCGGGATGAAGAAGGAAGGAGGAGGAGAAAGAGGGGGGAGGGGAGGAAGGGAAAGAACATCCTCTCCATAGTACACAACAACTTTCACAGCCAAATGCAACTTAGGAAGGACACTCACGGGAGTCAAGGCCACTGACCGCCCCACTCAACCCATCCACGGAACTGTCCAATTTTCTCCTACCTGGGTGTGCTCGGGTGTCCCAGTGGAGAGTGTGGGGATCGCAGCCCGCGGCGGAACCCGCCCAGCCTGGTGAGGCCAAGCCCTGGGAGCGGAGCGAGGACTGCTCCGGGGCGCAGGCGCGCGTCGGTCACATTCCTGCCGCTCGCGGGGCGCGGGGGGCGCGCGGGACGTAGTGCGGGGCCCGGCCGCTCTCCAGCTCGTCCCGGCCAGCGCCGAGCGCTCCGAGTCGGCTCGGGGCTCCGGGCAAGAGAGGCGCCCGCCCTGGCGGCCTGGGACTTGCGGGCGCGGCTCCAGCTCCTCCTGCCCAGCCACCGCGGGGGCGGAGAGCGGGCGGGGACAGCAGGCAGCGCCAGACCTCGGGCTGGGAGCGAACTGGCCCGGTGCCCCCACGGGCCGTCCGTCCAGGGGAGCGGGAGAAACTGGACATCCCCTTCCCGACGCCACCCTGCCCCGGGTATCCCTACGGGGCCCCTGCTAGGGCTGGGCGCTCCCAAACCACCGCCCGGCTCCTCCACGGAAAACAGAGGCGGCCCCACCAAGGTCAGTTGGGACAGGTCACCTAGCCATCGCGACCAGACTTCGCCCACCCAGTGAGAACTGAGCTGGCAACCACCGGGCATCAGATTCCGAGGCGAACGCTGACGCTGCGGTGCCCAGGGTGGCCTGGGGCGCGGCTCCGGGCTCTAATTGCCTGAACTTGGAAGAGTAGCTAGATTTTTTTGTACCTTGGTTTCCTCTTCTGTGAGAAACGCTCCTAACAGCCTCCATCTCATGTTGTGGTTACAGAAGTTAGCATAAAACACTGCGCAAATGTTATCTGCTGATTCATGAAAAAGCAGTTTAACTGTCTTACGGTGGTCTTGATACTAGACCGAAACTGTTTTTTGATTTTTTTTTCTTTTTTTTTTTTCGGTATTGGGATTTGAACTCAGGGCCTCAAACTTACTAGGAACTTACTAGGCAGGCGCCCTACTGCTTGAGCCACAACTTAAAACCCACTCACTTCCACTGGCTCACTATGCAAAGGAGAATTCACACTCAGGAAAATGAATGGCCAAGGTCATACAAATGAGTGCCAGGCAAGGTCGCACCTAGGACTGGGGGAGGGGAGAACTAATAAAAATTAAAATTGCACTTCCCCCCTCCCCACACGCACACACACTACCCCACTGAGCTCAAGTGACCTTCCTGCTTCAGCCTCCTGAGTAACTACAGGCACACTGGATACTGGACTCTCCTTTTTCTAAGTGTTGACCCCTCCCCCCACCCACATCACAATCGTGTCCCACTAGACATACAGGTTTGTACACCCACGTGGGACTCTCAAATACCCGTTCCAGTATGAGATTTGAAAACTCCCGTTCTTATTTTATAATCTTGAAGGTCTCTCCTGGGACCTTGAGGTCATCTCCTCCCTCCCTTAGCTGTGCTGAGCACTTGCCCTGAATCTCCTTCCCTTTGCTTCCTTTCTTTAGGTAACTCCTATGTACACCTGCCTCACTTCACCTCCTGGATTGGAGTCTCCCATAAGCTAGAGACTGTCACCCCTGCATCCCTCTCTGCGGAGTTCTCAGCACCACACACACACACGCTCCAAACACATCCTAAACTTCAGCGTAACACTCCACTAACACCTCCTGTGCGTGCTGATGATGCAATACAGAGATTACAGTTAGAAAAAAACTTTCCAGAAACAGAAGTAGCACCCTTACCCTTCTGGAAAGTCTCTCACTATCCTCCCACCTCTGAAATGTGCTTATCATTGGGAATTCTTGACTGTCTCCCATCACACCCAGGCCACCTTCCTAAAAAGTGACCTCACCCTCTGAGGATTTCAGCCAGTCCCCCACCTGGTAAGTTGCTGGGGTCCGGGGAAACTCCAATAATATACCTGCAATGAACTGAAGTGACATAAGCTGATGTCTGAAACATAAAGCATTTCCCATGGCCCATGTCGTGGGAGAACATTTTGAAGGATTTTCTTTCATGGACATTAACACCAGGCTTAAAAGCTTGAGAGGAAAATATTTTTGTGCTCACAAAGTCCAAGTGTTGAAGAACTGAGACCATAGAGTTTATATCATAAACCTTGGAGTCCAGAAGAATATACATGGTGGTTTAAAACTGCTTTTTCCCACCAAAGGAACAGAGGTGACCAGCAGAAAGGAAAGACAGAGCAGATTGGGATGGCTTGTGTTTATTAAACCCCAGGTCTCTGAGAGGTGGTCCAGCACCCCACTCTTCACCATCACCAAGCAAAAGAAACCCTAGCTTCCTTTTGAGAGAAGAAACTGATAGTGGCCCTGGCCTCCTTTTGAGGGAAGAAACTGATAGTGACTCCTGGAAGAGAGAATAAAGCTTGGCTTCTCAGGAAGACCCCTGGCATTGCCAGTGTTGTAGCAAAGTGCCATGTCCAGCCTGGCCTGAACCAAAATCAGCCCTGGCAGCAGAACTGCTTGGGCCTGAGAATGGCTGTCTTACAGAGTTCAGGATATCCCAGTGCTAAACCCTCCAAGGGGACTGAGAGGAGCCAGAGCTGGTCAATACTTGAAAAGCCCTAGCAAGTGCAGTTCGAGGGACTGGCATGATTTAGGTGGAGTTTGTAAGATCACAGAATGACCTGTGAACCTGAATCCATCCCCAGAAACCAGGATAAGCCTTCACCATCTCCATCTCCTCCACACTCAGTACCCCCAAATACTTCCAGTTAGAACCAGTGGAATCAGTGGACATGAAAAAACTCTGAATCAGTGAGATTTGTTTCTGCCATCAGATGGAATGAGAATTCCTATGTAAAGTTGACTTCAATTGCTAGAGAAATAAAGAAAATTACATTCTCACACACAAAGCCTCTGTGATTCTTAGCTTGCTGCACCTGTTTTTCTATTTATGGAGCTGCCACTAGTCTCTCAAAGAACCACAACATAGATTTAAAACCACTGTCCCAGATGGACTTCTAGTACAGCCCAGTTTTCTGCTCCCCTCACACATTTTCCATCTACTGACCTTCAGAAAACTGCTTTCTTACCTACATCTCTCATGACCTCCTGCACTGCAGCTTCTCAATTTAACTGGCTCAACACTCTCCTATTCTCTAAACACTCGTTCATGGGCTTCTGTGATCATTTTTCCATTCAAAGTACTCTGATTTCATAAGCTCTTTACCAAGCAGAAAGCCACAGTGTGCTAAAGATGAGAGCTGATGAGCTAGTGTAACATATCATGGGACTGTCAAGGCGAGGAGCCATTTCTTAACCTCCTTTAAAGAACAGGAAAAGAGGACAGCGATGACAGTTCAATTTTTTGCTCTGTTGCAGTTTTAATCTTGCTCAATGAAGGCAATGACTGAAAGAGGTTTCTTGCACCTAGTTTACATCACATATTAACACAGAAGCAGCACAGCATGTTCCAGAGGCCAATAGACTTGGTAACTTCCTAGTACTGCTAACAGAAACAGATTGGTAAGTCTCTTTTCTCTCTCTCTCTCTCCCTCTCACCATCTGTCTTCTGTTTGATGAATTCACTAACACACAAAACTTTCAGCACCAGTAATCAAACTATCTATTGACACCCAAAAGGCAGTCCTTCCCCTGAGATTGGGCTGGCTTTAGGGACTTGTTCATCCAATTAATCAATAAAATAACTCCTTTCTAGGACTTCTGAGCCCAATCATAAAAAACTTCTCAGGTTCTCCCTGGGCCTTTTGGAAGACTCACCCCTGGTGCCCAGAACTGGCAGGTTAGAAATACTACTGTCCTCAGACTGACACACTGTTGGAAAGCCCAAGTAACATGGAGGCCATGTAAATGTGCCACCTCAGCCATGTGCAGGTGTCAGCCTACCACCTCAGCTGTCAGTCAGAAAAATCTCCAGCCATGACAGTGTACCCTCTTGAATTTCAGGCCAGTCAACTCTAGTCAGCAGCTGTCTGATGACCTCTACATAAGAGGCCCCAAATGAGAACTACCCAACTGAGCTCCATCAACCCATGAAATCTTAAGAGATAATAATACAGTGTTGTTTTAAGTCGCAGAGTTTCAGGATGTATTGTAGCACAATAATGGATAAGCAAAACAATGACATACTCAGGAACGTGTCATGGTTCCCCATGGCCCATCCTGTCCCATTTAAGTAAACTAGCATGTCAGGTCTCTCGGATCAAAACAACATCCATCTCTTCTTCTCCAATTACAGAGGACCTGCTTAAGATTATTATTATGACATTATGACAATCTCACCAGCAAACAAAAGAAAAATCAGAGCTATGAGATGGCCAAATAGATTTAATTTTGTGTGTACGATTTTGAGTATCAGAAGTAGCTATAACCACATACTGATAAGTGCTAACCACTTGAATGATTTGGTTTCTAGTGTTGTTATTTGATGATTTTCTAAGAAATAGTGCAACCTAGAAGAAGTAAGCCTCCACAATCAAAGGTACTTGGAAGAGTGAAAAGTAGGCCACTACTTCTAAAAACAGAAGCTGAAGAATAATATGGTGAGACTCAAGTGTACCACATTTGTGGAATCATTTATCTAATACCCAAAGATTATGTTAACACCCACTTGCTTCTCTTGTCTATTTGGGGGGTAAATTGGGAACAACTCAACCGCAGGAAACCTCCATCCAACAATAATTACTATTACCCATGACCTCTCCAAGGGAAGATGGAGGCTGGGAAGATCCTTGGCCTTGAGTCCAAGGGTTGAGAGAAGAGGCTATGGAGCCAATGATTGCTTCTTTGCCACTTGCATTCTCATAAGTAAATCACTGTCTGAAGGGCCTAGAATGTGATCCAACTCTGCGACAGTTAGCCTGCCACTGAGCTCAGTTTATAAGCTGGTATGTCCTCAGAGGAGGGTACCACCACTGATCCTTAAGTCGTCATGAGAGTGACAGTAGTGTAAGTCTGTAATCTTGATTGCTTAGTAATAACATAAAAGACCCAGGATCCAGAAACTGGGTCAGACCCAAAGAGGGCTGAGTGTGACTTAGGCCTGGGCTGTCAGGAGGTAGTTATAAGGATTCCCTCCCATGTTTCTTGATCTGTGCTATCCAATACATGTAGTCTTTAGAAACATGTACCTATTTAAGTTATTTAAAATTAAATGAAATTTAAAATTCAGTTCCCCAGTGGCACTAGACACATACAAGAGCACAGTTAGCACAGGTTGTTAGCAGTTACCATGTTGGGCAGAGCAGATATGGGACACTACCACTGAAAAATATTCTATTGGACATTGATATTTAAAGTCTAGGAGACAGAGGGCTTCTTGAACAAAGGTCATCGTCTAGAAAGCTGATCTTCATCCAAAATGGACAGTCTGCTTGTTTTAAATTATACCCGAGCAAAAATCCTCACATCCTTCTGCCTTCCTTTCAATCAACCACATCATCATTCAGCCTGTCTTTATTGCCCAGCTAATCCTGTCCTCTCTATATTTTAGATACTCGATTTGTACACTATTACAATTACTGTACATTCATTAGTTAATGTAGTAATTACATTACCTTACATTCTTTGTAAATATATGGTTTAGTGTCTATATTTTGGGAATTTTTTTTTTTAGTAAAAGTAAGTATAAGATTTTCAGAGATAGGAATCTATGCATTTTGAAGGGAGGGGCATTGGGTATTTGTCCATTCCCTGTCTCCAAACATTCAGATACAATTAGATCAATCCCCAGAATGTCAGAAGGAGTCAACAGCCCAGCTAAAGAGAGTTGTAAAAGGATTTTCATTGTAAGTACTGTCCCAAACATCTGCTGCCCCTGCCATGATCTCTTATAAGGGCAACATATGGTTGATAGTCACAGCATCATTAAATCAGCAGAATACTTACTACCTTTTGATTAAAAATCAAATACCAGGATGGGCATAGTGGCTCAAGCCTGTAATCCTAGATACTTAGGAAGTGAAGTTCCAGAAGATCATGGTTTGAGGCCAGCCCTGGTGAAAAACTCACAAGATCCCCATCTCAACCTACAACTGGGCACAGTGGCATATGCCTGTCATCCCAGCTACTCAAGGCAACACGAATAGGCTGGCCTGGGCATACACCAAAAACCTATCTCAAAAATAACCAAAGCAAAAAGGGCTGCCAGAGTGGCTCAAAGTGGTAGTACATCTGGCAAACATGAAGCCCTGAGTTCAACCCCCCAGTACCGTGATCAATCAATCAATCAATAAAATAGCAGAGATCGAAGAACAATTACATCCCAAACCAAATTGTAAAATCTTACCATGTTAATGTTTTTGTCATTCCTTTCTGTTTATTCTCTAAGAAAAAGTCATTTATGTTGCTTTGGCCTGTTACTATGTCCTTGGACATATTAACTATGTATGTGTCAAGTAACTTGGTGGATTTCTAACTAAATCTCAGCACCTAAGTGCTGAGACACAAAAAAAATTCTCTAAGAGAGAAGGTGCCCATGGGAAGAGGTGCGTGTGGACACATAAGGACGTGGAAAAGCAGTCCTAGCTTGGAGAAGCTTCAATTCAGTACCCTGTCTCCTTTTGATATCCAGGTAGTGCTGGCCTCCCAGAGCTTGGAGTGTTGCTACACACGATTTGACAACAACTGAGTGCACTTCAATTTTTCTAGGTAGAACTGAAATTATATCTTTCTTAAGTGCTTGGTAGAATTCACCAAAGAAGTTACTTGGGCCTGGAGCTTTCTTTATGGAAAGGTTAAATATAAGTGTGGTTTTACATTTTGTGTTTCTCTATTAAATACACTTATAATAACTGTTTTAATGTCTTTCAGCTAATTCTGACATCTGCGTTCGTCTGTGCTTGGTTTTGCTTGACTATTTTCCTCGTCACTTTTTTCCTGCTGCTTTTACTAGCTGGTAATTTTGGTTAGATACTAAACATTGTGGATTTTAACTTGTTGGATGCTGTATGTTTTCGTGTTCTGTGATTTATGTGAATTCTTGGAAACAGTTTGTTTGTAATCTTGCTTTTAAGACTTGCTCAGCAGGACTACAGCAGCACTCAGTGTGGGCATCTCTTGCCCCATTCCAAGATTCCAAGTCCTCTCCCAAATGCCTGTGAAGTAGACATTTGCCAGTCTGACTGGTGGGAATAAGAGGTGCTCCTGGCTTTGACCGCTATTTCATCTGATCCTTTGGGGTGGTTCATTTTCTGGACTCAGATGGTTTTCTCACATACATGCGCAGGTCAGTACTCTGCTGAATTCCTAAGTGGGACCCTCTGGAGGTCTCTGAAGGGCTCCTTCTCTGCAGCAGTTTCCTTTCCTGTGAACTATACCTGTCTTGGCCTGCTTGGCTCTGAGCCTTATCCCATCAACACAGGAAATCTTCTGAGCTATGTCTGGGTCCCCCTTCCCTATACTAAGGCCTGGAAACTCATGCCAGGAAACAGGAATAATCAAGGGCTCACCCATCTATTTCTTGTCTCTCAGGAATCACGGTCTTCCATCACTGATATGGAGTATGTTTAAAAAAAAAAAGACTTGGCTTCATGTATTTTGTCCAGTTATGTGGCTATTTCTGGTGAGAAAGTAAATCCAGGCCCTATTACTCAATCTTGGCTGACCACAGAAATTTGCTAATGGTTTCTTCTTCAGTGAAGATTATTTACACGTCCATTCTTTTTCTTTCAATTTAGGTTAGGAAGCTTCTTGAAATCTCTATAAAGCATAACCAGCCTTAATCACTGATATCAGGTAAGAACAGCCTGGTAGATGCTGGCAGAGAGACCAGTTATGAGACACCAGCCAAGAGATAAACTCCCAAGGTTGCCAATGGGAGTGAAAAGGAAAGAATGTCTGTGAGTGGAGAAAGAAGGAAGGGAAAGGAAGGAGAATGGTGGCACCTCAAGACCAAAGAACCAAATCCACTGTCTCCAGGGTGGCCAAGTCCAAGAATCTTAAAGGAAGAATCATCAGCAACCATCACTAGTTGAACACAGGCATCAGAAGGATAAGTTAAGAGACAATTCTGAGAATGTTCTAGAAATTATTAGTTTGTAGCACTAGTCACAAGCCAAGATATGGAATCAACCTAGGTGTCCACTGACACCTAGGAAATGTGGTAAACACAATGGAATATTATTGAGCCATAAATATATGTTATGTTAAGTGAAGTCAGACACAGAAAGACAAATACCACATGTTGGCACATGTGGAAGCTAAGAAAGTTGAGTTCATAGATGAAGAGAATAGAAGAGTGGTCAGTGGAGGTGAGGAAGGGTCAGAAGAGGAGAGAAGATGGTTAATGGGTACAAGGGTACATTGGATAAGAAGAGTAACTTCTAATATTCCATAGCACTGCAGGATAACTGTGGCTGAAATAAGTAACTGTATGTTTCAAAACAGTTAGCAGAGAGGATTTTGAATGTTCCCAACACAAAGAGGTCTTAAATGTCTCAGGTGATAGTGATACCAATTACCTTGATCTCATCAATATAGATTGCATACCTGTATTAAAGTATTGCACTGTGCCCTGTAAGTATGTTAAAAGTATTGTGTGTCAATTAAAAATTAAAATACCTAAAAATAATTAAAGAGAAAAGGATATTCTATATTAGGGTTCTCAAAAGTCCCTGGAACCCTTTCAGAAGGTCATCAAGGTCAAAACTACTTTCATAATAATTCAAAGATGGTGTATGCCTTTTCATACACTTTCTCTCAAAAGTGTTCAGTGGAGTTTTCAGAGGCTTCACAGTATTATACTATCTCAAAGATCAGATATAGAAGCAGATCAGAATTCAACTGTCTTATGTTTTATGTTGTTAAACAAAACATAAAAACATTTCCATAACAATGTAAATGGTGTAAGACAATGCTACAATTCTCATTTTTGTTTGTTTGTTTTAAGACTGAATTATTTTATAAAAGATGTTGTTATATTAACAGGTAATGAGTTTGTTGGAAATTTTAGTGATCCATAAAAAGTATTAATTTCTCAGTTTTACTTTCTAATATGGTTAATATCGGTAGAAGTAACCATACTGACAAAAGCTCTTTAACATTCTCAGTAATTTTTAAGAGTGCAAAGGCCCTTAGATGAAAATTTGAGAATTTCTGCTCTACATAAAAAAGCCTCACAGAGAGCACTGGGTAGATTATGGAAGTATCTTCCTAGGGGAAAAGCCAAAGGGCAAACCAAGAGGTCAGGAGGGGGTCTCCCTCCTCACCAGCTACCTCACCTAAAATCCATAGTTGGCAATGATATTTCACAGAACAGCAGCCACTATGGGCCTCACCCATAAGGAACTGTCCGAGACACATTGAGATTTTAGCCGCTCTTTAGGTAGCACGAGTCCCATCCTGAATTCCCCAGAAAGGAATGTGAAATCACCAGTACCATCTCCAATTGGCATGACCCAGCTTTCTTAACTAGTCATCTGAACCATGCCCAATAATGTATGGAGGAATGAACTATGTAAGAATCAAGCACCTACTATGTGTCTGACCATGAGTTAGACATTTAATAGGACAGCACACCTAATGCTCAGAGCA